AAGGGAGGGAGGGAGGGAGGGAGGAAGGAAGGAAGGAAGGAAGGAAGGAAGGAAGGAGCAAGCGAGTGAGCGAGCAAGCAAGCAAGCAAGCAGGCCAAACAGCCTTCCAAGATCTCTTTTAGTGATGAACTCTGATTTTTTTCTTCTATAGGGTATTCTAGAGGCAGGAGAGGCAGGTTCAGAAAGGAGGTGAGGAGAGGCAGAGGCTCCTAGCCTGAAGCCTCTAAGTCAATTCTTCACAGGTGTGCTTTTGCTTTCAAGAAATCTGAAGAGGCCAGATGTGATAGTACAGTTGGGAGACAGAGGCAGGTGGAAATCTGTGAGATCAAGGCCAGCCTGGTCTACATAACGAGTTCCAGGCTAGCTGGGGCTATAGGGAGACCCTGTCTCAAACAACAACAAAAAGGAAATCTGAAGAGGGCCAGCGAGGTGGCTCAGTGGGTAATGACACTTGCTGCCAAGACTGATGACCTTAGTTCCATCTCTGGAACCCACAGGGTAGAAGGAAAGAACAGACTCCTTCAAGTTGTTCTCTGACCTCCACGTGTGCCTTGACATGCATGCATCTTCCTGCCCAGCACGTGCGTGCATGCACACGCGCACACACACAATTTTTTTTTAATTTTTTAAAGAAATACAAAGAAACTAAAAGATTTCACATGAAAAAACAAGATTTTTGGCTTCCTACAAGCAGTCAGAAAAGCTGGCAATACAGATGGTCCCATACAGATGGTCCCTGATAGATGGCAGTTTGAATTGTAATTTTTCAACTTTACAATGGAACAAAGCCAATATAGTACATTAAGTAGAAACCACATTAAAATTCTGAATTTTGATTTTTCCTTGGCTGGTGATATGTGGCACAGTATGCTCCTGAGTTTCTGGGCAGTGGCAAGGATTCCATACAATCACGAAAAATAAACAAGTGGCACTTGACTGTACACTGTATTGCTAAGCTATGATGTTCAGTAGACTAAGTACATTAAAGGCATTTTCAATTTAACTGGCGACAGGTTTATTGGAATTTACTCTATCATTAAGCCAAGAAGCTTCTGAACTGGTCTACTTTCCTACAGGGCAGCCATTAGAAGTGGCTGCCTTCTCTAGATGCAACATAAAATTTAGTTCCTTTTCCTTTCGAGCTCACTTCAACCATTCACATCACCTGCCTGGCCTCAGCAGAGAGTCTGCAACAAAATGCAACATGAATTTTTATCACTGAACAAGTTGTCTTCAAGTCCCAGCTCTCCACTTGCTAGCCCAGACCTCTTTGAGTTCAGTTTCCTCATGTGCAATTTGTGCATACCAGTGGTTCCTTATCACATGGAGTGTGGGGTTTCCAAGTCTTACGCAAGTCTTCTAGCCAAAAAAAGATAATGAACCAAGATCAGGCAAAAGTGTACAGACAGACTGGTGAGATGGCTCGGTGGGTTGCTGCCAAGTTTGACATCCTGAGTTCGATCCCCAGGACAAACATGGCGGAAGAGAACGCCTCTAAGTTGTCCTCTACCCACATGCCATGATACACACATACCCATACACATGTACACATACATAAATAAATGTAATAAAAGTTTTTAAAACATATAGCCCTTATATAGCTTCAGTACCTACCTCACTAGGTGATACCAGGTGACAGGTGACACTGACCCAGCTCAGGACTGACAGCATAGCCCTGCACCTCTCAGCTCACTGCACAATACTTTGAAGACAAGTGTGATGCTTAGGGCCAAAGTTGTTCATCTTCATGTCAACCCCAGGTAAATGGAATTTCTGGAATGGCCCAGGTAGCACACACTCTCCAACAAACTACCACAGTTCAGGAGGCACAAAACACCCTGCCTCACTGGGTATCCAAGTTGGTCCTTGAAAAAGGGCAAGCAGTTGTTTCTGTCTCACCTGTCTGTCCTAGATCTTTTCATCCCTCATGGGAGGCAGTCTTACCTTTACCAGTGGTGGCCCTAATACCATCCAAGAACAACCTGCTCAACACAGGAAGGACAAAGACATGGGTTCTGACCCAGACAGCACTAACTAGTAGGAGACTATTCTAAGGAGGAGTACAGAGGGGTCAGTAGAGGGCCAGAGGAAGGGTTTCCAGGTAGAGGCAAGAAACAGCCTAGGAAAGTGCCAAAACAGAGACTAGAGCTCAAGTCCCAGCTTGGTAAAGGGGAGTCTGCAGTAGAGTATGGACTTACAAGGGCTGACACAGACAGTGGTTGGCAGGGGAACACAGGACCAGGCCTGCCTTTTAGACTGCTCAGCCAGTGTACAGGCAGGATGGGAAGGAGGCAGGGCTAGAGGCAATGTTCTAAATAAAACAAGGTAAAAAACCAACAAGACCTGGTAACTGAATGCATGTGGAGAAAGGAGGAGGATGCCTCCCACGTTTGTCTCCTATGGGAAGAGGAACAGCCACTAGAGGAGATAAAGAGACAAGAGGGAAGCAGGTCCACAGAGGGGTCAGAGTCAAGGCAGTAAGAACCAGAGTAAAATCAAGGACAGGCAGGGCCACAGGGTGAGCTAAGAGGAGCCTTTCTTTGCCTAGCCAAGTCTATAAATCTCTCAGGGGCCCA